AGTCCGATCTATAATTGCGTAAACGTAGTTGTAAATGGTTGTGAAATGTTGTAAAGCGGAGTTTTAACCTGCTACTCCTGGTTGTAAAACATGTTGTGAAAGATGATTCTTTATCTTTCATGACTACAACTGACTGTGTAAAACGTAAGAGTGAACTAATCAGTGCTATCACGTGTCTACATTATCGTTGTCAATCCTTTTTATCTCGACGTATGGAAATGAGTGCAAAGTGTCCTTTTCATCTTTTTGCCTTCATTTTATGATATATTATATGACGAGTTTAGTATATTACGAGTATGAAACACGGAGAAAGTGTTGTGAGCAATGTTTAATTTGAAGATGAAAGTTCGTTGAATCTTTACTCGATTATAGATTAATATATTATATAACATTCACTGCTACTACTACACCCATAATCTTACGTCTACGCAATTGTAGATCAGGCTTTATATTATTACGAGAATGAACGGTTCGTATAATAATGAATATACGTTTGTATTGTAAACTTACAGAATTGCTCGGTGATATATTAAAACAGAAACCTTCTGAAACGGATGGAGTGGAATCCGTGATTGTTGTGGATAATGTGCCTCGGGTGGAGCCTGACAAATTGGAGAAGCTTCAATCTGTTATCAATAAAGTCCTGGGAAAGTTTGGCACAATAGTCAATCAGTACTATCCAATGAATGAGACCGATGGCAAGACTAAAGGGTTAGTCTAAATTTTTAAAGAATCAAAATTATTTTTGTAAAAAGATATCTTTCAGAATGATTATTGACTCTTGAAATATTTTCTTTCTTTCTGACAGATACATTTTTCTGGAATACAATAATCATTTGAACGCGCTCACCGCAGTCAAGTCCACCAATAATTACAAGATCGACAAATCACATACATTCAAAGTCAATCTTTTCACGGATTTCAAAAAGTTTGAGGATATTCCTGAAAATTGGGAACCGCCGAAGGCTCAGCCTTTCAAGGCTGCTAGCGACTTACACTATCATCTGCTAGAGCCAGACGCTTATGACCAGTTTTGTGTTCTTTGCGGTAATGGAGCAGGTGTGTCAGTGCAAATTTGGCAAAACTCTGCGCCAGAGCCCACTTCACTCGAAGAACGTAACGTAAGTAGTTTTATTTGATTTTGCAGAAATTTCAGCTACGATCTACTTGATGCTACAAATGCTTTGCAGCGACATTTATAACACTAAATGCCGTACTCTCTATTATTCACATAATTTGTTATGCAGCAAAATTAATTAACTTTATTATTACAAAACTGCTACAATCAAACCATTTTTCTCTGATTTCAGCGCTGGACAGAGACATATGTGAAATGGTCACCACTAGGTACATATTTGTCCACGTTCCATAAACTGGGAGTTGCTCTGTGGGGTGGTCCTCAGTTCACCCAGCAAGCTAGATTCAGTCAGCGAGGTGTCGAATGTATTGACTTTTCACCCTGTGAACGTTACCTAGTCACCTATACTCCGCGCACTGATCTTGGACAGGATCAAAAGCGCCTAGTGATTTGGGATATCTTGTCAGGCCAGGAAAAACGATCATTCTTCCCTGATGGATCTTCCGTCTGGCCAATCTTCCGTTGGTCGCATGATGATAAATATCTAGCACGCATGGGAGAGGACATTCTCAGTGTCTATGAGACTCCAGTAAGTATTTTTCAGTTACATTTTATTTTCCTCAATTTGTGATATTTAACTTTAATTATTCTTTTGTTATTTTAAGTTTGTACCCAGATAACTCATATCCCAATTTTGAACTTTGTGTTATCTAGGTAACTTGATAATCACTATAGTTGCATATAATCTTTTAGTCGTTTGGTCTGCTGGACAAGAAAAGCATTAAGATTCCGGGAATCAGAGATTTTAGTTGGTCTCCGACGGATAACGTTCTTGCTTACTGGGTGCCAGAAGATAAAGATGTTCCTGCGAGAGTAACTTTGCTCGAAATTCCTAAGTGAGTCTTGAAATCTAAAATGACATTCAAATTGTTGACATGAACAAATTTTTTTTATTAAAAAATTTTTAATTTGTAGCCGCAATGAAATAAGAAATAAGAATTTGTTCAACGTGGCAGACTGCAAGATCTTCTGGCAAAAATCTGGTGACTACCTGTGCGTGAAAGTCGACCGCTTTGCTAAACGTAAGGAGAAGACAGAGCAAAAATACACAGTAAGTTGATTAATGCTTATCTTTTGCTCGAAGCATAACAATTATTATTATATACATACATACATATATATATAACAATTATATATTTACTATTTTTTAAAATTATGTACAATTTTTCAATACCTTTGGCAAATTTTGAATTCCGAAAACAAGAGAGCGTTTTTTCAATAATCATTATTAAAATATAATTGTTATTATATATAAAGATTATTCGCATTTCACATTACAGGGTATGTCGTATAATTTCGAAATTTTCCACATGAGGGAGAAACAAATACCCGTTGACAGTGTGGAGATAAAGGAGCCGATTCATGCTTTCGCATGGGAGCCGGTTGGTAGCAAATTTGCCATCATTCACGGAGAGATACCCAGCGTAAATGTTAGTTTTTACGAAGTGCGATACGGCCATCAACCTGCGCTTCTCAGTAAGCAACTACACCGCGGAAACTGTTTTTAATTTGTTTACATGATGCAATTAATAACTTACAAGTTCTTGTTTCATTGATTCAAATTTAATGTTTGCAAATTGCTCCTTTTTCAACAGAAAGATTGGAAAAGAAGGCTTGCAATCACCTATTCTGGTCACCATCGGGTCAATTCATCGTCCTTGCTGGTCTAACGACGATGGCTGGTGCTTTGGAATTCATCGATACGAATGATTTCACCATTATGAACTCTACTGATCACTATCAAACCTCAGACGTAGAATGGGATCCGACTGGCAGGTACGTTCAAAACTGTGATGAAATAGCCGCGTAATGTGAGAAGCTAAGCATAGAAGTACAGCAAGAAGTTAACTTTCTCTCTCCTTGATTCATTTTTTAGATATGTCGTCACGGCAGTGTCTAGCTGGAAGACCAGCGTTGATAATGGTTATTGGATATGGACGTTCCAAGGTCGTATTTTGAAAAGAGTCAACCTGACCGCGTTCAACCAACTACTGTGGCGGCCGCGACCTCCGACTCTACTCACTGCGGAGCAGATTAAGGAGATAAAGAAGAACTTAAAGAAATACTCGGCGCAGTTTGAGAGCAAAGATCGCATGCGATTGACGCGTGCTTCAAAGGTGCATTTAATAAGATATATTAAATATTTATCTCCATATCAAATTAAATATTGAAATTGATCAATCAAAAGAAAGAATACCAATATCGTGTTTAATAAAATGTTTTGCTTTGATTGATTAAATTCAATCTATTCTCTAATCTGATACACATAAAAAATAGTTTTCCGATAATATTTTTTTAATATTTCAATATGTTATAAGTTCTAATTTTTACATGCTTGGTTATAAAATAATATAAGAAGACATTAATTTTCTTCTAAAATTCTCATAGGTCTGACAAGTGATTTAACGAATAATTAATTTTCTAGGAATTAATTGAGAAACGTTGCTTGCTGATGAAGGCATTCGAAGAATATCGTACGAAACGTATCGATGAATGGAATAATCAAAAGAAGCGTCGTCTCGAGTTACGTTGCAGTGAGTATATTAAATATATTAAATTATCTATACTGAAGAGATGTATGTACATATTAAATATGTACTTTAATAATTATGAACAAGTGGAAAATTATTGCATTATTAATAATACTGAAAATAAGCAACATAAGCGTTAATAATACTGAAAAACAATATTTCTGATATGACTTGGGAGATTAATCGTCGCCACGTGCACTTTCAGATATTGATACTGATGAGTTGGACTCAGATTCGAAGAACGTAGAGGAAGAAGTTGTTGAATTTTTCGTAAAAGAGGAAACATTCGTAATCGACGACAAATAAACTTCTCTTCCTTGGACAATTGTTAATCGCCGCGCTGATTGCCGGTCTTGGAAATCTCTAAGTGTGAAATAGCGATCTGTTCCTCGCAAAGTGTCGCGATACTTGTCGTTGTAGCGATCAAATATCGCTGCAGTTTATCTTAATCCGTGAATCATGAGTGGCAATAGACAATCAATCGTGCTATCAAACTACTGTTATTGCTACTATTATTATTATTATCACTATCGCTACTGTCATTATTATTTCGCCCGATTTAAAACAATTTTCACATTTTCGATGCTGCACAAGAAGCGTCGGCATCGTAGCAATATTAAATTTTATCACATACCCTACAGGATAGTTTACAAAAAATCGCGTCACTGATTTCACAACTTTTGCCGGCAAATTTACAGAATAAAATGCTAATTTATTACTTACGAAATGAAGTTTAATTTCTGGAATTTGCAGAATTTATAAAAAATGCAAAGATCCCCTAGAATTCAAAATCCTAACATCAGATCCAATCTTTTCTATGTCTCGTAATCGAATATTTTATTATTCTCTGTATAAAAAAATCATGATTTATAAATGAAATCTTTATAAAAAATTGTTTTACAGAACGACAAATCCTATACAATAAAAAAGTCTGATGATAAAAATTCGTGTGGACATTTTCATCGTTCAATTAATTAAATATTAATACGGAATTCTGTAATACGGAATACTTATTAATAATAATATGTTACAGCTATAATTAAATAAGTTTAGAATACAGGATTTGTCTTAAGGCTGTGACATACAAAAAATGTAAAGCAGTAAATGTAAAGAATAAGCAATAAGCGTCAAATCAGTCAAATAGAAATGTAAGGCAATAACGTAAGTAAATCCAAAATGTTGATTTTTTTTACTGCCTACTATTGCTACTTAACTTATATTACTGTTTAAGTTTTTTTATGTCATTGCCTTAAATATTAATACAGAATCCTGTACTTATTGTACAATATGTTACAATTAAAATTAAATAAGTTCAGCATATAGGATTTGCATTTTACAAAGGCATTTTGGCTTTAAAAATAGTAGCGAAAGAAGAGTACAACCGCGCATACCCAGGCTGGTGGTATTCTATCTTGTTGCGAGAAAGTCTTTCTCGTAACAGGTTTAGCATAGGAGAACAGTCGTACCTGTTCTTCATGTAACGCATCTTGCAATTTCTCATTTCTTGTCATTATAGCTATCTGCGTCTCGAGATCCTTATTCACCGATCTGTAACCTAAATCAGTCATATTCATACAATTTAATATTAAAATTAAATAACAAAAATTACAAGAAAAAAATATGACAGGAAGATTAAACTTAAGAAATGAAATGTAATTTTAGTTAAAAATTTTCAAGAGAGATCATTTATTGCAATCACATTAAGATTAAAATTCAAGGTGAGAACTTTTTTTTTTTTTTACCGAAGTTTGGCGAGCCTATAAGAGTTAACGAGGGCTTTTGTTGATCTGGCAAAGTATACCAAAGACCTTTGGCATGATACGTCCATCCCGGTTTGACAAATTCCCATAACGTTATCCTCCTTTGCTGTTTCATTCTCTCACATAAATTATAAAAGGATTTCTCTATTCTGGTATACGCTGCTGGTATCCCTCCGGCAATTCCTTTGGCATCTTGAAGATATATATATAATTGAAATAAAATAATTATTAACTACTGTAATTCTGTTTATTCAGATTTTTAACAGAAGAAAAATTAATTATAATCATACTAAAAAAAACAAACGGTTTTATATGATTCTCTTTAATGTAAAGAAAAATTTATAAAATTGGTTCTTAAAGAATTTATGTTATAACTGTTTTAATATATAGTGAAAACATACTAAAGAAACCATTGGCAGTTGGATGTGCTGTCAAAAAGTGACATGTTGCTTGACAATTTCCAAGCACAGCTTGACTATATTCGGAAGTCAAATTGAAATAACCCGTTGCTAATTTGAGTATAGCTCCTGCTGGAGCAGTTTGTAAAAGCTTCAATGTTATTTCACTATCATGATAAATATTCAGCTGGCCCATTTGAACTAATGGGAATATCCATGTGTCTGCATCTGCATTATTTAAAGATTAAATAATAATCTAATTTGTAAAAATTAATTCTCGAAATAACAATATTCTTTTTAATATTCTTGCTCTGAATTCTAAAATTATATGGTATAATTGCGTGTATAAACCTTTATTGAGATCGGCATTCTTTTCTATTTCATTATATAAAAATATTTGTATCTTGGACGCTGCTTCTTGGGTAAAGCTTTTTCCGAATCCTTTGTAAAAATGACAGTTCGCAGCAGGATTTAAACTCGTATTGCCATCCGGTTGTAATAAAAAGCTGAATTCCATTACTTTCTCGACCAATTTATTATAAAAGTTGCAAAGCTCCTCGCAATCTTTTATAATGAAATATCGATCCTGTCGATTTGTGAAGTAATCATTGCTGAGATTCGCCCTAACAAAATAATTTTTATAATTATATTTTATAAATATATACTATATGTTTCATATTTAAGCTATTCAAATAACTTTGTTATTAAATATTTTAAAACTTTTTTCTTTTTCTTTCGTGTCTGCTGTTAATTTTTGATATAAATTCTTATTTTTTCTTTCTCAATTAATTAATATCAATGACAGTCATAACTCTGGCCTACCCGCTAATGATCAACTCATTATCGATCATATACAGCTTCATATGTTGCAAACCGATGAGCTCATTAAAGCGATCTGGGATTGCTGCTTTCATCACACCACGTAGTTTTGGTGTATGATAGAGGAAAACCTTGCAACAATCTCCGTATTTACCTTTAAGTAGTGGCTCCAACATCTTCCGGGAATTCTGCTTACCTCGGGAAGCTCTCATATAATCTAGTAGGATCCGTACTTTAATATTGCCGCCATTCATGCTAATTGCTTGCTCTATGACATTCACCTATAATAAAGAAACATAAAAAGACTTTCCCAAATTTGTTTTCCCAAAATATCAATTTTAAAAACTAAAGAATTGATTTTACATTTTATTCCTCAATCTTCTTTAAAAATTATTTAATTTTAACTATTAATTTTAAAACCCTTTACTTTTATGTTCACTCTCCTTTGTTTTACGTTTTAACATCACTAATAACTGATTTATATTTTAAATACTAGATAACAGTTTATAATAAGAATTTTACACTATTGAACTATGGAATTTATTTATAATTCGGATTGACATTCAACAACCAATTAGTTAGAGAAGGAAAAAAGTACCTATCATGATTTCTTATACCGAGTGCAGGGATTCAACACACACACACACACACACACACGCGCGCGCGCGCGCGCGCGCGCATACACACACACTGTTAAGTTGAACTAATGTGTAAAACTTCAAGAGTTATCACAGTTAACTCAATTATGTTAAAATAATCTGCGTTTCCATATATTTCATGTATCGCTGTTTAAATTAATCATCGAGATAGTCTTTGCGATTGATTATTTAGAGAATTATATACATACTGAAGAAAGACCTGTGATCTCGAAATGTACGCGAGTTTTTGAATAAATGCATAGTTTATTAATTTAATCTTACATCCTTTGTTAGTTCGTTTATTGACTGAATTTTTGTAAATAAAATAATTATTTGGCCATGTGTGTGTGTGTGTGTGTGTGTTTTTATTATAAATGTTACATTCGTTTCTATTATACTTACCAGTTCAGTTTCCAAGGCGCCAGTACCCAAGTACAAGGAGGCAAACGTGATTCTCTTCTTAGCATGTCTGCATTTTTCTAACAAAGTACTATAGAATGCTTGTGGCTTGTCAATTATAGTGACCTATTGGAAAAAAATATTCTTATTGAGATCAAATATGTCGACAACTAAGTTGCATGCATAATTATTTTACCTTTGAGCTATTCACTGGAAAAGCAGGAGCCGCAGTGCGTAGCCAAGATAACGAATTAATTTCTTCTTGTGTAGGAATATCCAAGTCTCTCAATTTTTCGTCATCCAACATTGCTATTTCCACTTTGCGTCTGATAAAGATCGAATCTATACACGTCTTTACTTCAGCTGCAGTGCCTAGCAATTTCGGTTCGCGAAACCTAAAAACATATGAACAAATAAATAAAAAATAACATAAAATATACAGATAAAATTTGTTCTTTGTATCTAAACTTTTTTCCTCTTCATGTTAAAGAAAAAAAAATAGAAACTATGAATAATAAAGAAATTCAACTAAAAAGAACAAAAGATATTATTAATATGTAATTATTATATTGTAAAATTGAATGACATTATAATTTGCCAATATTACATGTTATTTTTAATACACAAAATAATTATTTTATATATATATAATTATTTATAATATATAAAATATTACAAAATAATATTAAAATTATTAAAAATTAAGAAATTAATTTACTAAATCTTATATGTTTATGTAAACGCCAAAGAAATTCTAAAAGAGAAATAATTTTCTGCTAACATTAATTTATTACAATTAATATCTTATTATTATTATTATTAGCTACTGATTTTGCATATATAGTAGCAATAGTAACATACATTTTTTACTTAAAATGTCAATTCTTTTTTATATAATGAATCGAATGTCAAGTAGATTTGAAGGTTATGCTTCGTTAACCTAGAAATCACGCGAAATATAATGTGACACATAAAAAGCAATAGTGAAATAAATCGCACGTACCGTCTAAAGATTTGCAGAGCCGAGCTGTGCATGAAGAGATGTTATTTTAGATAATAAATACAAAAAGAAAACTGATTGCTCACGTCCCCAAAACTTTGATTTTTACGCAAAACAACGAGATACAGTGAGTGCCACCTGTCGACTGTAATAGACAATTTTAGACAATTCAATTTTGAATTTAGAGTAATTTAAAAAACAAATAAAAATAAGAGGTTATATTAGAATTTTTCCTTCTAACTTTATTCAACAGTGTACACCATTTCACTTTAAGTGAAATGCACATATTTCAGCTATAAAAACATATATGTACAGATATACATTTATCAGCCTGAGAAGAATTATCTTCTGGTTAAAAATACATCGTCAGATATTATAGATATTATAGATAAAATACTATAAAAAAAGCGTTTCAAATTATAATTATTTGTTTGACAGTTTGAAACAGCGAACAGCGAAAGATTTATTTTTTTGTTACTAAATATTTATACTTTATTTCTGATACTTTTTTGCTGCAAAAATTGTTTTATTATTTTTTCGTTTGTTTTTCTTGTCAATGAATTATATAATATTTTTGCATCTAATTATAGATTATCTTCCAGCTTAAAGCTAGGTCGGAGTTCGGAGTAGTGGAAGTTCTGTCGCCAGGTAACGGACATGTACACACGAATGAATACATCTGTACATTTATACGTCAGTACTGTACATTAATTCTTGTAAATAATATTATTAGGATAATTGAGAGTAACATTGAATCAACATGCTGCTAAAATACTTAGGTACCGTTATGCCAGCGCAGGTGAGTGGAATATTGTCATTTTTAAATCAAAAGTTTAAAATCTTGAGATCTTAAAAATCGAGTATCTGCGTATCTGTGAAACGAGTTAATATAAAATAATTATATTTTTTCGAAAATTATTAAGAAATTATTTAGGAATAAATATAGACTTGATTTTAATAAATATATTTTAAAAATTTGTTAGTAACTTTAATGAAAAAATTGAGTGTTACTTTTAACGAAAAAGTAACTTCTTAAATGGAATAGTTAATTTTGTTTATATTAATTGATTAAATGATTCTTAAAAAATAATTTTTAATATTACATATATATGAAGGTCATAGAGATCATTACATGTATAGATAAAAATATTTATATAATATGTTATAATGGGTGTCCGGCTAAACTCTAACAATAATTCACAGGAAGATAGATGGGACTAAACTAATCGAAAAGTCTTGTATCATTTTCTCGCCGGACACTCTCTATATATACAAATAAATATATTTATGTGTAATAAGAGTTGACTATTTTTATATTTAAATGCTATATGTTAGGAGTTGGAAAACAGGGTGATTAGCATAGCATGGTCGCCAAACAACTTAAAGCTAGCTGTGGCATCTTCGGATCGTTCCATTTATCTTTTTGATGAGAACGGTGTAAAGCGTGATAGATTTTCCACTAAGCCTGTTGATCCCAAGGTATTCTACCTTCTATTTTCTAAAGTTGTCCTTTATTGATATTGCTATTTTAGAGATTTAAAAATTTCTGAATTTAAAATTTATATATATATATTAATAACACAATATCTTTCCTTTATCCATAGTTTGGTAAGAAGAGCTACTTGGTGAAGGGAATAGCCTTCTCTCCAGAGTCCACAAAGATTGCAGTTGGCCAAACCGATTGTATTGTATATGTATATAAAATAGGAGAAGATTGGTAAAGAGTGATTTATACAATTTTACAAAAAAAAGAAAAAAAATTAATTGAAATGAATTGTTTGCTAATAATAAAAATTATTTTTCAGGGGCGACAAGAAAGTAATTTGCAACAAATTCCGACAAAGTGCCGCGGTGACTTGCTTGATCTGGCCAGTGGATGGTCCAATTATCGTAGGATTGGCGGATGGAAAAGTACGCGCGGCTATGATCAAGTCGCAGAAGACCCAAACCTTATACACTTCCGACGCTATGACGATAGCTCTGGCTAGCAAGTAAATTAATGCTTAGTATTTTTTGGCTACATTTTTTGTAATATTTCAATTATGTACATCAATCTAATCTCTGAATAAGTTTAAGATAATAATAATGTAAAGGCATATGAGAGTATAACGTTAATAGAGCGTATTTATTGTATATTTTTCTTACTAATAAGTAAATTTCGACTCTTTCTTCAGCGAAATGCTTTTATATAATCCAAAAGGTGAGATCACTTTATCCTAGATGGAAGCTACTCCTGGATTGACAGATCCAAAATGAAAATCTACCGTTGATGTTGAAATTCATTGTTAGGAGGAAGTGATTCAATAAATAAAATTGCAGATTATATTTACAAGAATTTGATCGGTTGAATAAGTCTAACATTCTTGTTAATGCGTAGTCAAACTAAAATATGTGTTGCTCATTTGAAATAAATTTTGCTGAGTGCTTCGAACGAGCAACACATATTTTAGTTTGACCACGTATTAACAAGAATGTTAGACTTATTCAACCGATCAAATTCTTGTAAATATAATCTGCAATTTTATTTGTTGAAGGATACTTCCTAACATGAATTGCAACATTAACAGTGGATTTTCACTTTGTATCTGTCAATCCAGAAGTGGCTTCTATCTAGGATGAAGTGATCTCACTTCTTGGATTGTACAAACGCGTTTCGCTGAAGAAGACTAAAAAAAGAGTCGAAACGTACGAAATCTATACTTATTAGTAAGAAAAATATAATAAATAAGCTTTATTAACCATGTTATACTCTCATATGTCTTTACATTATTATTATTAAATTCGAGAGTCACAGAGATATCATTTATTAAGTTAAAAATATTTTTTCAGAAATTAAAAAAAAATTTTTAAAATATAACAAATATTTTAAAGCATTATGTAATATTATGAACATTTTTGTCATCAAGATAAACTTGTAGTTTATTGAAATTGCTATTTTTGCAATTTCTAACTTTAAAATTTCTAATAAGTAAATCTTATTTTTCATAATATAAGATTTACTTGATATTTTCGCAACGTCTATAGCCGGTATTCATAAGTCAATTCTTATATTCAAGACCGTCTTAGGTTCTGTCACCGCATTAGCGACTTAAGACATTACTTAAGACGGGATTTTAAAATAAGAATCGAATACCGGTCTATGAATCTTAAATTTTCGATATCAGAATATAAGATTTACTTATATTGATCTTTCTCGATTTATAGCGTCCGCGGTAGCGGCTTCCTATCAGGCCATGCCGACGGTAGCATTATCCGGTACTACATTGTTGAAGACGGTAACGCGGAACCATCGGGACGCGTATGTGTTCATGGAGTGCCTCCTTATGCTCTAGCGTGGCCACAATCGCATATCTTAGCAGCAGGTTGCGACAAACGGCTGACCATGTACGACCCATACGGCAAGCCGGTCAAGACCTTCGATTTCAGTCGGGATTTCCAAGAGAGGGAGATCACTGTCGCCTGCTGTAGTCCAAGTGGCCAGAGCGTCGCTGTAGGCTCCTGGGACAAGGTGCGCATATTCGATTGGTCGCCACGAAGAAGTATCTGGGAAGAGACCAACGTGCGCGACTTGCCCAACTTCTACACCGTCACAGCGCTCTCCTGGAGACGAGATGGTTCGAAGCTGATAGTTGGCGGATTGTGTGGTAGCGTCGAGCAGTTTGAAACTATTCTGAGGTGGCTGAAACTTGGAATTGTTAAATACTTTACGTTTGAATATTTTTTAAATTTTGTTCTTTTGCATCTTTCTGTCCCTATGATTATAAAAATCCATATAAAAATCGAAATTACTTGATTGATAGAATTAATGCATAAATCTTGTTTTATTTTATTTGCAGAATAACTTGTTATTGAAGAGTAGACGATCAATCTGATGTCATCAGTAGAAACTATTTGATCGAGATATTTATCGTTATGAATTTCATCTTTCAGACGCACAGTGGTACGCGGTAGTCACGAGGTCGCCTACGTGGGTCCCAGCCAGGTAGTGATCCGGCCTCTGAGCGACTCTTCGCAGCGACCTATCGTCATCAGATCGCAGACGGGTCTGGAGATCGAGGACGTGCGTGTTTTAGGACGCAGGGACAACAATGTGGTGGCTCGGACGGCACGCACTTTGTTAATCGGCGATATCGAGCTGGGTTTGATCAGCGAGATCCCATGGGAGGATCGATCTGGCGGCGAGAAGTTTTTCTTCGAATATCCGGTTGTATGTCTAATCTTTTGCTCTGGCGAACTGACGATTGTTGAGTACGGCCAAAACGAGGCTCTTGGTTCCGTGAGAACAGAGGCGGTGAACCCGCATGTAGTCAGCGTGCGCGTAAACGAACGACTCTCATCTGGCGGAGGTGACAACAAGAAGTTGGCCTACTTGCTGGATCCGAGAACTGTTCGCGTGATTGATCTGCTATCCGGTGCGACTATCAGCATGATCGTTCACGATGCCCGCATCGATTGGCTGGAGCTAAGCGAGGCTGGTCATAAATTGCTATCACGCGACAAGCGAGGTCGTCTTTGGCTTAGCGATGACGAGGGTGACAAGTAATTTTATGAAGTAGTGTGAAGTTATGAAATTCTTCTTAGATCTTCTTATTCTAATTATTCCTTATTTTATGATATCGCAGAGTCTTGCTGGTGACAGGGGTATCTTTTGCATCTTGGGTGACTGGTAGCGATGTTGTTGTCGCTCAGACAGGTCAAACCTTGGCCGTTTGGTACAACGTGGACGCGCCAGAAGCAATTACGCTCACATCGATCAAGGGCGATGTGGTAGACATTGTCCGAGAAGATAATCGAACGTCCGTGATGGTGGAAGAGCACGGCGGTATCAAAGTGGCACATCAGTTGGACGAAGGACTGATCGAATTCGGCACTGCGTTGCATGACAATGACTTCGGAAGAGTCATCCTGTTCCTGGAGAACATGGGAGACGGTCCGCAAGTGGAGACCATGTGGGAGAACGTGGCCAGGAACGCAATGAATGAGAGAAAGCTCGATATAGCTGCCAGATGCTACGCTGCGATGGGCGATGTGGCTTGCGCGAAATTTCTGAAAGAGATCGCCGAGGTTTTCTTCTTTTATAATTTAATACCTCTACCCCTTT